TTAGTCTGGTTTTTGCTAATTGCTGTTAAGGAAAGCCTCTTTTATACAGAAAAAATATCCACGTTGAAGATATGCGTACGTAGCTTATTTGAGAGTTTAGAAATGTGTTAGGTAGGATGTAGAATTATTGTAGAGACGCTGACACTGCCCTGGATGCAATAAAGGCCTGAGTGTGTCATGAATTTAGGAGTAGATTTCTAGGAGGCCCTCCCCCACTTTGAACTGTGAAAGTAAGAAAAAGAGAAGTTAATGTTGAGTGGAAATTCCCCAGGGGAGACCTGGGTGCGGGCCTCAATGTTTGTAATATGTTAACTCTGTTTTCTCTGTTGTGTAGAGGAATTTGGTGTAGCTTGGGTGAGGAGATTACTTTTATGACCGGCAGGAAGTCACATACACAGAGACACACACACAGTGCTTTGACTGTTATGACGCACCCACACTTACATGCACAGTCACTCACCTGCACTCACATAGACACACGGGTATGCGCACACACAGGCACTCACATGCTCGTGCATACACACACAGACACAGAGTTTCCAGCACACCATGAGGGTTTTATGATGGGGTCACTTCTACAAAACTGTGTTTCACAGACAAAGCAGTGAAGATCTGCAGAGGGACACCGGCCTTGCATGTCTTCCCTTCTAGAAGATGCATGCTTAAATGAAGATGAATAAAGGTTTTGTGAAATGACTACTGAGTTCCGGTGCCGTCTCTGGATGCCCGAGGAATAAAAAGAACCGGCTGAAACTGATTTCATAACAACGTCCATCACCAGCTGAAGCGTTTCCAGTTTTCTTCACTGATGTTTACCTCCACCTGAGCCACCCTCGGACATGACCAGTTTTAAACTAAAAAATAAGTAGTTCTCCCAAGTGATATCCCAAAAACCAAATGCTTTTTATTTAGATTGATCATGCCTGCAGAGATCTTAAGCAACATCTAATTGATATTTAAATGTGAGTTAGCATCTCATACTGGAGTATTTCCAGAGTTTCCCTCACCCACTCAGCTTTCAGATTTGCACACACCTGCTTGTTTGCAATAACATACTATGACCATTATATTCAAATATTATAGAGTGAGACTTAGAGGTTGCAGGCAAAGTTGGATGGCTTGGAAGAGAGAGTATTACATGATATATATGGTAGTCATCACTATATTTTGCATCCCTTGATACAGGTCAAACGCACTGGCTTCAGCTTGTAGCTTGCAAAGTGTGTTTTGCTCATGTGGGCATCTGATGCACACACACATGCACCCACAGGACATCATAAACATCAATCATATTGGTATTATTGACTGACCAAAAGTTAAATGTGACAAAATAAAGTTAAAGGCAGGCAGAACTGAACTTAGCATGCTCAGTATGAAATAGGAGAAGGGACATCAGAGTGACCATAGCTCTTGGAGCAATGTTGACAATACAAAATACAAACGTGGCAGAGCATTCACTGACATGACCTCTGTACATATATATGAAGAGTCACTGCACTACTGATGCTTTTTTTTGTAGCCTGTGGCTCCTAAACTGGGGACAGGAAGCCCAGTGTTGTATCACAGCAACCAATACTGCATATTTTGCACCTTGGTTACAATTTAGACATGTATGTATTCAGTTCATATTTCAGTAAAATTCAGCACACGGCTGCAACTTTATCTCTCAGTGTGTATGGCTACATTTACACCTGAATCCAATTTGTTACACATGATAATGTCTTATAGTGTTGCAGTGCTACAAAAGAAAAAAAAAAAGACTGGCATAGCCTTATTCATGCAATATTTTGACATTGTAGCAGAAAGCTGCTGTCAGGATATTTTACATCACCAGTAACTTTGAAATTGTTTTGTGGTGAAAACTTCCCCTGGTTACCGTGACCTATTTAGTGTGCCAAAAGGGGAGAACACAACTGCAGCATCTTCAAGTGGTAAATGCTTTCTAGCATACAGTTTATATGAAAAACAACAAGTTGTTAATTAATAGATGCAAAATTAACACCTGACATTAACTTCTGCAATATTTAGACAAGAGTTTCTGAATGTTTTGCAATTAACAGGAGTTTAATTGCACCACATGCTCTGTGTGAGTGGCCTTTTCAGTGGGAAATCAGGAGTGTGAAGGCCAGCAACACATCACTACCACTTTTGTTGAAAGGAATTCATAGCCTTGCTCAACGACACTTCAGAAGCACACATGCTTGTTCACACAGTGTGGAGACAGCTATAGAGAAGACTACTACTCGAATACATGTTGAAGGTTTTGCTTGGTTAATAAACATGCTCTTGCCAGAAACTGCTTATTCATGTCCAGCCTCACAGAGCAATTTATGTAATTTTCATGGCAAATGTTTTTCCTATTATGTGTCTTTGAGTATAAGGTAATTCATTCATTAGTAAGTATAAACACCGTAGTTAAAATATGAGCAAATTAATGCTGTAGGTACGATAATCATCCTATATTTTTAAAAGAAAAAGATCTAGTTCAACTCTTCTTTTGTAATCTTTCTTACTTATTGAAATCATAAAAGCTTACTAAGCAAGTTCAGACAAGTAACGGAGGATGGAATGACCAAATTTGGATTAGAGGACACTCAGGAATATATATATATA